TCTCCACTCAACATTCACCACCTCAGACATATACAAGAGGTATTTTTTAGATGGATGCATAGAGTTTCGTTGAAATTTTTTATAAAATAAAATTTTAATTTTTAGAAGAGAATTCACCAAAAAAATCCTGAATGTATGAGAAAATTCAAATTATAAACTTAACTCTTTGCATTTTTTTCTGCACATCTCACAAGGTTTTGAGTGAATTACATTCAAAATTTAATTAAACCACTTTCTTTTCATTGTATACCAGTATGTATATCATAAAAATGTAGCTAATAAATCTTTTAATAGTATATAAGTCTTAAGTTCTTAATTTTATAAGACAATATTTTTAAAAAATCCTGAATTTATTTTAGTGTGAGAATTGTGATATTTTCTCTCTAGGCATCCCCTCTTTTCTAATTCATTTACCACCTCTCCAAGAAGTATGAAATTTAACATAAATTACTCATTATAATGTAATCACAAAGCATAATTTTCATAGCCTTCAATCCTATTTTGTTACAGAGCCAACAAGTAAAAATCAGACCCCTCTTGCTACACCCACCTGTGACATTCTTTCTTTCAGAAATTGTCAATAGTTATCTCTGACATTCAATACTGTATGATTTTTAACCAATAGAAAGCCAAGGTTTTTATCTATCAAATGACATATTTTATTACATTGTTTTCTGTACAAAGGATTGTCAATTTTGCTTTCAGTACAAGTTTTATTCCCAGGGGAAACACATCGACTAGCTTAGGTGAATTTGTTATGGCTCTTGTCACATAGCTAGAAAGCCAGAAAAATTGTGATAGTTATGGGACATTGTCTGTTTTTTGCATGTTATTATTCGTGTTCTTTGGTGAAAAATTTGGTTAAATAAAAATTTATTTAATGCAGTACTACCATTAGCATAAAAAAAATGGGTTAAGTGTTATTGACAGTTGACAGAAAAAAAAAAAGAAGGCTCAGGTAAGTACTTTAATTCTTGTTTTTATTTGGCTTCTTTATTATTATTATTATAAAAGTAACTAAATGTAAAAATAGAAAACTTTTTAGGTTAGATAAATAATATTATAATAAAAATTTTCACGAGGTACACTTGTGAGCAGCTCTCAAATAGCTTTAATGTAATGTAATTTGATATTATAACACGAGCCCCATGTTTCTCGAGTAATTTACAACTTGTAATGCATAAATAGTAGTTAGACAAAGTTCAAAGGAATGTCTCCTCAGGAATGTTTTTTAAGTTAAGGCTCTATTTGAAGAAAATAGATATGAATTTTCACCTCTTCACTGAAGAATTGATTATTTTATGTCTTAGCATCTCATTTATACACCTATATCGTGAGACCTCTGTTAAAAGTTTCAAATTAAATCATTGATTCTTATTTTAAGGGTTAAACATCACATATTTTCTTTAATTTTTTACAAGAAAGAGCAATATAGATTACACTTTCATTTTAAATGATATTTTTGTCTCATCTTATTAGATGCCCCTTAAAATGCAACACCCCAAGCGATTGCTTGTGAACAGATCAGTTTTGTTAGAATTGTTCTTTCTTTTATTCAGTTAAAATATTTTACGAAAGAATAAGCAAGTTTTAATACCATATTACACTCGTCCATTTTAAAGTCTAAGTATGCTGTACTGAAATGCAACATCAAACAAAGACAAAGTAATGGAGCTTCATCCATTTTATTGTACTGACTAAGCTTGTTGCCTTGAAAGTGGATGATTTATGTTAAATTATGTGTAGCTATTATTGTATGAGACTCATTATTATGTTAGTTTATTTTCAGTGGATAAGTTATTTAATTTGTGTGCATTGTTAGAATATGATAAATGTAACAGTAATATTTAAGAAATAACTATTTGAGTCATTGGAATATTTTGCCATATTCTACTGTACTTGCAAAACTAATTAATGTCTTCTCATATAAGAACATTTTTGTAGCTTTCAAACAGATATAATTTAACATATGTGCATTTTCAGTAATGAAAAGAATGTATTAAGAAACTATATAAAACAACCCCAGATCTGTGGTTTGTTCCTGAGTGTTCTAAACTTCCCATTAGGTTCCTTTATTCATCATGCAAGAGGTCTGACTGGTCATTATCTTGATAAACCAGAAAGTACTGCTCAAACCACTTTATTTTCTTTTTTAACACTATTGTGAAATCAAGTTTAAGTTGGTGTTGATGAAGTGTTTGATATTTCTTTACTATGAAACTGTTAGTTGACAAGTAACAGCTAGTAATGTATATGGCATTAGTCACATAAAGCTTCAAAATAAAGCAAAACATCGTAAAACATTTAGTATCTAAAGATGAAAATGTTTAACAGTTGCAACAGTTTTTATGTGTTTCAAAGGAATGGTGCATAGTGTTTCACTAAAAAAAAAGTGGCAAAATATAAAAAAGATCAAGCATACTAAGTTTTGATTTACATCCCATAAATGCTTAACTAGGGAAGAAGAGGGTACAAGTGCCACCACATTTTGAACTGAATATTCTTTAAAAAAATTTTTTTGCCTCATTCACTCACCTTACACTTCCACTTCCTTACACTTGACCCACACACACTTTTAACTAAGTTAGATGGACATGAGAGTTTATATACACTGTTTTTATTCTTTCATTTTATGGTTTATTAAGGCTATTTCTATATCCACTATTGGTCATCAACAATTTTAGCATTTAAGTTTTGGAGGGAGTGGAGACTCATCCATTTTATTGTGCTGTTCAAGCTTGTTGCCTTCAAAACACATGGTTTCTGTTAAATTGTGTCTAGTTATTATTATATGAGTTATATTAATTGTGTCTATGTGTCTAAGATACAAAAAGTGACCTTGGATAATCAGTTTTTTTATTTCTGTAGTGAATTTTTAGTGACTTGCTACAAGATTATATGCTAGAAATTATATTTGTTCTCTTCCTGGTTGAATTAATATGATGATGTTTAAAGTGTAATATTTTCACTGAAATCAAAAATTATTCCGTGAAAACGTTTTAAGAAGAATGATAATATAAGTTTAATATTTCATGAGTGAGATCGCATAGTAACATGATTGTTAATTTTTTATGTTCTCAAGTGAAATGGCAGCCTAAGGCAGTATATATACAAATTAATAAACCATTAAAAACATGAATGGACAGTTTATAGTGCAAGTTAAATCCTTAATCTTTAAGTAAATAGTTTACTAATGACAAGTTTTGTAAAGTTCACATTCCATTTTTCTAGGAACAATTAACATAAATAGGAGTATTTAATGAATAAAATCTATTTAAAAATATATCTAAAGAAACCAGAGAATAAAAAACAATTAATAGTACATACCAACTCTAAAGTACTTGTATTGAGACAAATCTCAGAATGTGTGTGTTATAACTTAAATATAATTATAGTTTATTTAATTTGGTTAAATGGATTTCTATATGACTATCTTATCAAAAAATAATGTTTTTCTTAAATTAATCAAATGATTTATTTAGAAATATATTTCAAATTTGCAGGAACTAGACGAATGGCAAAAAAAAATGCCATAGTGAGGTCACTGCCATCTGTAGAAACCCTTGGGTGTACATCTGTCATCTGTTCTGACAAGACAGGTACTTTGACAACCAATCAGATGTCTGTCAGTCGGGTAAGTTACCAAACCATTATTTTTTTATTTGACTGTTCAGAATTGGAAATTTTTCTGTTGAAATTATTAAAGGTAATTACAATATAATCAAAACAGAAGATTATTTGAATTTATTATTACAAACAAGAAAATCTTGCAACATTTGTATGAAATACACATTATGACTTAAAATCTAACTATTGCTTTAACACTTAAAGAAAATCTTTTATTTAAAATGTTTTATTTTAGTTGGGAAAGGATGAAATTTGTTTGGAAGCAGTATTTAAATCAACTGAATCTAGTTTGATGTTTTTTTGGAACTCTTGAAGTAACAGTGCATCACACTGTTATAAAACATTATTCCCCAGGTTTTATATTGTCATTAATTGGTTTGGTTATTGCTTTTTTCTCTTGCTATATTCAATACAACAAAAGTGAATTAACTTCAGACCACTGCATTTAGTAAAGTATATAGTTTGATATTCTGTTTCTAAACAGTTTCAAACAAGAGTTAAAAAAATTTTTTAGTGTGTTTGTGTAATCATTTTTGTTTGTGGAAATGTGTAAAATGTTTTCTTTTCTTGTACATAAAAACTTTTATCTGTGTTTAACGCATTTAGTTTTCTACTCATATTGACAAAGTAATAACATACGCAGTTTTTAAGACAACACTCTTACAACCTAAGCAAAGTATTGAAGGAATCAGTGAAAACATTATTTTTGGTATTATTATTGATATTATTATTATTCTGAAAATTTAAATTTATTTGCTCATTTTTAGATTCATATTTTCAATTTGTTTTTTTCTTCTTTGCCTGATGTAGCAATTATGTACATGTGTATAGCCATTAAAAAAGTCACATAGTCACTACATGATGTTCTTTTTATACTACATATTAATACTTGAAGGGATATGACATTAAAATTTGGGGTTAAATCCCTGTAGTGTTCACCGCACAGGTAGCTTGTTTTTTTTATTAAACTTTGAACTTTAACAACAAAAACAAGGAAAAGATATAACTGTAGATTCTGTATGGGTTGCAATAATTTAAACTTGTTTGGCAGAAGTGTTGAGGCAACATTTATTGAATTTGTAGCCCTTGCCTTTCTATTATGGCTTAGGTTCACTACTAGCAATTTATCATTTAAAATGCACGGGCCTCCATTATTTAAAGCATTTGTACAGCAAATAAATAATTTCTCTTCTTTGTTCCGTATCTGTTGAATTTTCAATCAATTATATGAATAAAATTGGCTCTTTTGTGGGTGATTATACAACTTTCTCTACAGATAACAATGGTAATTAAACTTCAACAATTCTCTGAGTATCTAAACACAGGATACCTTAATGTTTGTTAATCAAACAAACCCAGAAAGCTGTCACATTAATCACTGCTGTTGTGCAGCCTTTTCATGATGCAAACATTCATGGAAGTTTGTTCCAAAACGGTACTACCTTCTCTCACCCAAAGCTATTTCAATCCTGGTCTGTCCTCTAAGCATTGCTAATAAAAAGTTTGCTACAGTGCACCAGTCTTTATATCCCATCAATTTTGTGCCATTACAGAACATTTGCTTATCATGTGACTATTCTTCTCTAATCATAATCTGCCATCTATACTGGCACAGGTAGCTCCCTCTACGATTTTAGAACCATCCTCACTTTCTCAATTGGCATTCTAGTGTGTAGACATATTTTAACTCACTGTCCATGTGACTACAAAATTTTGGTTATGCTTTATTACAAATTTATATCAGTTTCAACTTCAAGTTTTGACTTCTGGTGTTTTATTTCCATTGTTTCTACTCATTTGTTTTCAAAATATTTCTGTTTTCTGAATCTTTATTTGTTCATAGGAATTCAACATTTAATATGGTGGACAATAAAATTACCCCAACAGTCGACAATGGTTCTGAATATTCCAGTTGCTCCAGTGTGGGGGTCGTGTCTTCTAGTTCTGGGCATTGCTGTTTAATCCTTCTTTGGTACCATGTGTTTTGTCGAGTAATACACTCATTTGCCCATATTTTCACTTGTTGGGTCTTTGGACTCTCCTTTTCATGGATGACTGGCTCCTACTTGCCTCTTCCTATGCCCAGTCTGTCAATCATGCCTGCTTATTTCTTCAGGAATCTAATTGGGTAGGGTTTTATGATTCAGTTCAAGAATTCCATGCTTAACCCCTCAAATATCTTGTTCCATTAGGAGTTTTCTTCAATTCCCATCTTTGTTGGGCCACCTTTCTCCATTTTGGCTCAGGGGTATGGAGCAGGCAGTCTCATTGGCCTTACCCTCTTCTTTCCTCATTGCACAAGGGTTTTCTCTCTTTCAGGGATATGGCATTCTTTGCAAACTGTCGTTCTCTTGGGTCAAGCTCACATGCATTTCCTTCAGTGGACCATCCCATTACCCTTTCCCCCTGGAATTGAGACCAACCTTTCATGATGGCTTGACAGGGAACTGACCATGGTGGGGATTCCCATTCCTCCACCTTGTCCAAAGTCTCATCTGTTTACCAATGCTTCCTTGTTAGGGTGGAGGGATTTCTTTGATTCTGGAGAGATTTATGGTTGATGGTCCATCAAGGAGGCTGCTCTCTGTTTTCAACATCTTGGAACTTTTGGCAGTTTGTCGAGTTCTGTATCATTTTCTCCCACTCTTGACTATTCCACTATCGTCAGTAATGTCACCAATCAAGGGGGGAAAACAAATTCAATTCTCTGTGTTTTCAGACTCTGGATCTTCTTTACCGGGCCCATGACCATTCTATGGCGATCTTGGCGTGTCATGTTCCTGGTGTAATGAATCTGGTTGCCGATCACTTATCTCAACCCAGTCAGGTCTCTCCACAGTGTGGTCCCTTCTTCCACACGTATTTTGGTGTGTTCTCAACTCTGAACACCACATATAGATGTGTTTGACACTCACTGGAACTCTGAAATTCCTTCCTTTTGGTCTCTGGTTCTACATTTTTCAGCTCTGGGAGTAAATACATTCAGTCAGGATTGGATGAGGCTTCACCCGTATGCCTACCTTTGGATCAGTCTCCTCTCCAGAGTCTTTTCCCTTATCCAGACCACTCCTTGATGTCTCCTACTTGTTGTTCTGTAATGGCTTGCTCAGACATGGTTCTTTCTGCTCTGGCCTTTACTGGAACTTTATCCCCTGCCCTTACCACTGTCCCAGTCTATCCTCCAACAACTGCAATTGGACATAGTTTATTCCGATGTCACCAAATTCCATCTTCATGCGTGGATTTTGTCTAGTCAATTGCCTCAGCTCAGAGACTCCCCCCTCATTTACCATCTTTCATTTTTTGTTCCATTCGACCTTCCTCCTTGTCTGTGTACCAGAGGCAGTGGTATACCTTCAGATTTTGGTACGTTCACCATGGCTTTTGCTCATTCTGTTCTTCAGTACTTCATCTTTCCGAGTTCTTCACCTGGTTGTTTGATCAAGGTTTGCCCATGTCAACTGTTGTTAATTATAGGGCTGCCCTGTCAACTGTTTTCAATCATAGGGCTGCCCTGTCAAACACCTTCTGATTCTCCTGTTTCTGAAAAGCTTTCTCCTCCCCTGTTATTCCCCTCCTTTTCCATTTCTTTCATCTTGTCTGTCCTCCACGTCCCTTTGTGTTGCCATATTGGATCTCAGTTTTTGTCCTTCATGCCCTGTCCTGTTCTCCATTTGAACCCATTGCTCCATTTTCCTTGTACCATCTTTCTCTTAAGTTATTTTCCGATCATATTTATACCATGGATGTTTCCTACATCCTTTCTCATTCCTCTTATGTTATACTCTCTTTGATTGGGCCTTCCTTCCCTAGACATCTACTGCACGGGCAGGTGGTTTGGCCTTTTCTACTATTACCTTCTATTTCCCACCTGTATTCTTGTTCAGTTCCGGATAGACTTCCTTGTCTGGTTTGTTTTTGTGAGATGTTATGTGGCTCATACTGTCTCCTTTCATGTTATTGTTCCTGTGTGTTTATTCCAAGGATTCCCTCTGTATCACATGATACATTGCACTTATCTGCATGACCTGGGTGTGTCTTCTTTGGACAGGGATCGACTTCCTCCTGTGGCGATTCTACACATATCTGTCAGCCTTTGACTCGGGACATATTACTTTTCTTATATGTGTTTGGTTGATAAATATCATATTTCAGGATCCCACCTGGTGGTGGGTGTTGCCTAGTCAGGTATGCTTCATATTATATTTGCATTAGATATGAATAATTCTATAATGTTCACTGTTATGATGGAGTATTTTTGTAAGACCACCAGCAGCTTGTCCGGTGGTATGTGTATCTTTATTTTTTTTTAATAAAAGTTACTAGCTTTATTTATAAAGGACCATCACTCGTGGACCTCATGAGTAAATTAGATGGGGATTTCTCCTTATCCCAACTGATCCATGATTCCTACAATTGGGGTCTATCTGCTTTTCAAAATAAGGAATTGCAGATACTCATTACACTATTTCCGGGTTTGTTGTTCTTCTGGACTCCCCAACATGTATCCCCCCTCCTTCTCTTCTAATGACATATGGGAGTCCTTACCACTTCCCAGTTGCTGGAGTGGTGGACCATGGAGGTTTCTTCCTGAGTGGGTTTTGAAAAACAAAATAAAGCTTTCTAGCTCATGTGTACCCACTCTGTGAGAAAAGGGCTGTATTTCTTATATAATCATTACTGTACTGAACAATGAATTATGCAATAATATTCAGTATGTGCTTCCCCTGGATGTTTATACCTGGGCAGACTGCACTTGTTGATCATATATTTCTTATGCAAGGCACTTCTACTGGATATTTTTTGCCTGAATGGACTACACATGGCATAATCTGACGTAACCCAAGGTGCTTCCCTCCCTTTTTTTTTATTGCTCCATGCGGACCACACTTGGCCTGATCCTATGTATCCGAGGCACTTCCCCTGGATGTTTTTTGCCATTGCATACCACACTTGGCCTGATCCTATGTATCCAAGGCACTTCCCCTGGATGTTTTTTGCCAGTGCGTACCACACTTGGCCTGACCCTATGTATCCAAGGCACTTCCCCTGAATGTTTTTTGCCTGCATACCACACTTGTTGATTTCAAATTATTGTGCAAAGTGCTTCCACTGAATGTATTTGTCCAGATGGACTGCACTTGGCATAATCCAGCATATCCCAAGGAGCTTCCACTGGATGTTTTTGTCCGGATGGACTGCACTTGGCATAATCCAGCATATCCCAAGGAGCTTTCTCTGGATGTTTTTTGCCCGGGCAGACTGCACTTAGCCTATTTAAATACATTTCACCTTAAAACCTAGTCACGTATTGTTATTTAATTTTTCTCTGTAGTTCATTTACTGGCACCATACTATGACTCACCCTCAGTATGTTTGTTACTACATCTTGTTTCTTATGATGGCTCATTATGACATGGATGTGGACAGAGAGAGAGGGCTAGTTATGATGACCCTCACTATCGCACTCATAACAGTAATTTATATCTTTCATAATCCTACATATCCAAGGCACTTCCCCTGGATGTTTTTGCCCGGGGGGACTGCACTTTTTGTATTCTAATGTAACCCATAGCACATACAGATTAGGGAAAGTGGTTTCATACATACAAGCCTTATCATGTTAGTCAACACCATACTGATTCATGTCATAGTTATCCAGCACTTCCTACACTGATTCATTGCTGTACATCTCTTTATTGACTTCATTGGTGCCTGTCAATTCAGTTCTGCCCCAGTTGTGTTACTGTATTGATTTCTGGGGAAGAGCATATCTGTTCCAGAAGTAGTGCTGTACCCCATTGGTGTGCTTTCTTTCATATTCTAGTACACCAATTTTTCAGTGCAGTCTCTTTCTGCTTGATTTGAGATTGATACGTCTTCACTGGCTCTTCCACCTTGTCAGTGTGGGATTCTAGCTCTGGGTGAGTGGAGGTAGTACTGTTTCAGAAGTTAACATTTTATTACTCTGAAAATGTATTTTGAATAGGTACTTACCTCTGCTCATCCACTTCCTACTTTTCCTCCCCACTGAGATGCTAGTGTATATAGTTTGTTCTGGCTAATTGTCGAAAGTGAGGATGGTTCTAGAATAGTAGAGGGAGCTAGCTGCACCAGTATAGATGGCACAATACAATTGGTGGAGAGTAGTAACATGATCAGCACATGTTCTGAAATGGTGCAGAATTGAAGGGGTATAAAGACTAGTGCACTGTAGTGAAATTTTTATTAGCAATGCTTAGAGGGCATATTAAGATAGAGATAGCTCTGGGTGAGATTAGGTAAGTACCTGTTGTAAATATGTTTTCAGGGTAAGAAAATGTTCACTTTCATACTACATGCATTTTCAGTGTTTTGAAGCTTTCCTGGTGTTTTAGAGCAAACTATTCTGTTCTATTATTTTTCCTCTAAACAGTGCTTGTTTTCAAGTTATAAATATGTTGTAAATATGTTTTCAGGGTAAGAAAATGTTCACTTTCATACTACATGCATTTTCTGTGGTTTGAAGCTTTCCTGGTGTTTTAGAGCAAACTATTCTGTTCTATTATTTTTCCTCTAAACAGTGCTTGTTGTCAAGTTATTCTTCGTTAAATTTTGACACCATTTGAAATCTAATTAAATTTTTATTCTCTTTAAAATACTTGTCTGCAGTACCCAGTATGACAGAGGCTCACATACTTTATGTTAAAAGGCTTGTAACACATCTGAGAAATTATAGGTTGACTTACATAAACACACTTGGATAACTATTATTAGGGCTGACTTGATCATTTTAAGTGTGTATGTAGTGAGCAAATGGAAGGTTTTCAGTCATGATAATAATTGCTAAGCAGTGGATCATAGGTTGGCCTGCACAATGTAAAAATATTGCTGCAGTTGCTTGCTTTAAATTTCAAGAAAAACTGTAACTTTAATCTTATATTGTTTCTTTAAATCTAAAATATTGAGTACAGGGTTGGAGTTGTATAAAGCCTTTTATTTGATTGGCATAACGATTTTGTTTGTTCCAAGTTTATAAGTTTTAACTGGTTAGAGAAACATATAATGGGTTACTTTAGAATGATTGATTTTTATTGATGTGTGTCCTGTATGTCATGAACTACCTTTCATTATTGTACAAGAAACAACAATCTTTATAAAAGTACTTGAATTTTTTAATTTCTAAGATGAATATTAAGTGTTGACTGCTGTCTGTTTTGTATCTTGAAATAGCTCTTTGTTGTGGAAAAGGCCGATGAAAACAGTGTTGCTCTTAGTGAGTTTGAAATCACTGGCTCTACTTACGAACCTATTGGAGAAATGTATGTACAAAGTCTTATTTTTCGTTATTTTGTTTTTCACTTTTTATAAGCTTTCTTTCAAGTAGGATTATGGTTTAATTTAGTGAATTGCTCTAATATGCCATTAGTTAGGATTTATTTAAAATTTGTAATGAATTGTGGTTCTGAATAAGAGATTGGTTTTGTGGAGATAAGCAAGAAATGAAAAAGAAAAATAGTGAAACTCCAGAAGCTGTCCTTCAAGTATAAAAAAACAGGTGTAAGAGTATTGTTTCAATACCCTAACAAAATAGCTCTAAACTTTCTTTTATGGTTGAAAGGCACTATTTTTAAAGCAAAAAATGTTATTGTTTTATTAAAGAATGATATTAATTTGTGAAGAAAATCTGTCAAATGTATATTTCTCTATAATCTGAATTTATTCAGATTTAAAGTTTTTGTAACTGAAATCAAAATGTATTGGTAGAATGCACTTAATACTGTAAGATCATTTTTGTTTTAATCTTCTCACTCTGGGTAAGTCAAAATGTGCATGTCATGACATATTACAAAGTTACACTCAAAACTTAATTTAACTACTTTTTTGTCAGTGTATACCAATAAACTTTAGCACCAAAATATAGTTAATAAATAAAGTTTTGATATTATATAAGTCTCAATTACATAAGGAAATGTTTAAATAAATCCTCAATCTTCCCCTTTATGAGTATTTTGATATTTGTTCTCTAGATCTTCTCCCTTCTCTAAAGCACAGAGTTTAGCATAAATTATTCATTATAATATAGATATTACTAAGACAAAATCTAATTTTATAGTCTTCAATCTTATTTATTTATTGATTCATAAACTAGAAAATCAGAGCCCTCCATCACATCCTCCTTCACAAATTGCCAATAATTCTCTCTGATGTTTTATATTATATCATTTATAACCAATAGAAAGGAAAATTTATTGTATAAAATGACATTTAAAGCCACATTATTTTCTATAAAGAGTATTGTCTATTTCATTTTCAGTTTGAAAGTTTATCTTGCAGTGTTCAGATTAAGTATTTCAAGCCCCTCTTGCATTAGTTAGAAAGCCATTGAATTATAATATTTATAGAACTTTGTTTTCTTTGTGCATGTTATTATTCTGTGTTCTTAGGTGCATTATTTAAATAAATAAAAACTACTTAGTATACTAATACCATCATTATAAAAAAAAAAGTAGCTTAAATTTTGTTAGTAACTGATAGGAAAAACAAAACAAGGTCAAACATAGATATTATATTTCTTGTTTTTAATGTATATTTTAATTCATTGTTAAAAAAGTAACTAAAATTTAAAAATTACAAATTTGTTAAGTTAGGTAAGATAATGTTAAATACTAAAATTTCTTCACGAGGTATGCTTCCAAGTAGCTTGTGCATTGCGACATTCAATATGGTAATATGAGCTACATGTTCACCAAATGATTTACAACCTAATGGCAGGATCAGTAGTTAAAATGGCAATAAAAGAATATGTAGAAACAGATGTATACAGTTACAAGCCTTAAGCTGTATGGGATAAACAGTTGTAGTTTTCTGTTACAATCTGCAGTCATTCTAGAAAGAATAAAGGGTAATTTAGAATTATTTATATCTTTTTTTTTATAGTGGTTACAAGGCTGATCAAATTTACCAAACCTGTATAGAGTTAGGTTAGAGAAAGTAACAGATAAAATATAAAGTTTTACTAAAAAAAATTAATATATATATTTAGGAGATTTTAGAGGCTATGCAAATGAAATTTGAAAATTTTCAGATGAAGAAAAATATTTTAAACCTTAACATGAAAATCATGTTACACTCATAGCAGTCAACACTCTGACTCCATACATTCATGGACAAATATTGAATAAAAAATCTTGTATACAAAAGACTTGTAATGTAACTTGTACCTTTAATGTTCCTTTAACTTTTTGTTTTTCAAACTACAGCCCAGTTAGAATTCACCCACTTGGCTCGAATAGACCAATAACCCTCAGAAATTTATAATCTTTCGTCTCACGTGGGGTGAAGGAAGATTGCTTAATCTTCGAACAACTTTGATGATTAATTATTTCTATCAAATTAATTAATTTTACATCAAAACAACTGTCAGAGAGAGAGCTTTAACTGACTTAATTGTTATGCACAAGACTAACATTTCTTATTTTGTTGGTTTTTAGAATTTGACATGTCTCACGTGGGGTGAAGGAAGATTGCTTAATCTTCGAACAACTTTGATGATTAATTATTTCTATCAAATTAATTAATTTTACATCAAAACAACTGTCAGAGAGAGAGCTTTAACTGACTTAATTGTTATGCACAAGACTAACATTTCTTATTTTGTTGGTTTTTAGAATTTGACATGTCTTTTTGGTGATGTAATTATATTTCCCAGACATACCTAGATTTCAGACCATTCTACCTCTTATTTGCATGTATTCTTCTAGCATAAGCACTTGGCTTTCTAGAGTTTGAATTTCCTTTCATGGTTCTGTTATTTTCTTCACTTCTGAACTCTTTCTCATATAATAACTCAGTAACTTCTAGACAACTGTGTTTTAAACTTAGTAAATATCCTGTTGACTTGCTGATTTACTGATGTCTGTTTTGTATTGATAAAAGAACTGCGTATTACTATCTAAGAGTTCAGTCGTAGAATCTCACTTTTAATTACACACGTGTTACTACTTATACTGAAGTTCTTTATACTCTCATTTGGTCATCTAATACACCATATGGTTCCATATTATATCCAGTCTAAAATATTCACTACTAGTCAGTTTTAAAAGAAAATAAAAAATAAACTGAGAACATTTTATATGTAGAGATTGCCTCAGCACAAAGTGTATCTGAATCTACATTAATATACTGGAAATAGTTCTAGTTGATAGCTATACATGTACATGTAACAATAAAAAAATGATGATATGAATTTTCTTTCCAATGATTGTATCTTACATTAGGTTGAGTTTTTTAATGAAATAGAAAAGTCATTCCAAAAAATACTGATCATACATTTGTGTATTAATAATACATTAAGTTTTAGTTCTGTAATTTTGTGGAAGTCATTGTAATGAACATAGATATGTGTATGTTATCATTTATTCATTATCATGAGAAAACAAAACAGTTGAGCTTGCAGAATTTGAGATTGGGTTAGTACATTTCTCAAGTCTGGGCTAGTATTTAAAAAAAAAACTTTACACAGACATATTAGAGAAAATTGACTGTTTATTACAGAGTGTCTTTGGTGTTTAAAAATGATTCGTGATTTATACATGGTTTTAATGTGGATATTTGCTTAGAAAGTTTTCTGCTTGCAGTAAGTTTAACCCTATCAACATGGGACAAAGGTTGTGTCTTCACGTTTGTTGACTCACATTCGAAATTTTATTCATTTAATATTTTATGAATTTATGTCAAAAAGTTTGGTATCAAATTGTAGATTATAATTCAAATTTGAGTATTATACATTAGTTAATTTCTTATTTTAAAAGTAACTATTAAAAAAACATACCTAAATATCGATATTTGTGTGTCATGTGGTATGTTGAATGCAACATTGGTTCAAATTAGATGTTTGTGATGTCCAAATACAAAGACTATAGTTTCTTATGAATTAGATTCTCAAACTACCGATATTGATAAACTAGAATATAAAATAAGAATTTCCTATCTTTTCTATTTTCTGAGATATTAATATATTTATTTAATCAACCAAGGTGGCCCCACCCACCTCTTCAATTTTTGGAAACACTTGCTTACATACACCTACTTTTGAATAACCAATCAGAAGCTCAGAATTTCCACCTAATGGCTTTCTCAGCCTTTTTGAAATATATGGATACGAACTCTTTCTTATAAAAGATTCCAGGCGGTAAGGTAAGACTTTAGTGAGCTTGAAATTTCATATTTTTTTAGACCAAAATACTGCTTAGATACTAAGCTTGATAAATTATAGTGGAATTTTATGGTATTCATATAGTAATTTATGATACTTGGTTATTTCAAAATGTATGTATATATATGTAAAACCTAAAAAAAAATTATTTCATTTCACATCCTCCATGTGTGAAATTAGATAAGGCTTAGCAACCGACGACAAGCAGCAAACAAGTATAAAGTGTGTAACTAGAAGAGATAATTGTTTTCTATAATTCTTTATTAACTGTTCTATGTTTTAAGAAAATAACTGAAATTTAAGAACTTACTTGTAAGTAGTAATAATGTATATACATATGTAATGTATTATAACTGAAATGTGACTGTATCTTACGAAATATTAGTCAACTAAAACACAGCCAAGACAGGTCACTTTGTAAAAGTCAGTTTTATATTCTTGGATACAGTAACATGAGTGCCACATCATTTCAAGTTTTGTATTGTTAGCCAGTCACAGCTGAAATGGTTAATATAATAAAAATAGTAAATGTATATAAATGTATAATGTTATGAGATTTAAGTTATTTAGACTAAACATTTGTGTTTTCGTCTTATAATTTGTAGTCATTCCAGAAAAAAAAAAGCATGATTATGAGGTCGGTTAAACCGACTGAATCTGTACAGAGATTTGATAGTGAAAACACCAGATATAAAGTATTTTTTTAAGAAACATTTGATAATTAACTGGAGATTATAGAGATTTCGCATGTGAAATTTGAAAATTTCCTGATGCATAAAAGTACTTTTAATCTTAAAATCAAAATTACTTTGCATGTTGGATAGTCGACATTCCAACAGATAAAAGGCATGAGAAGAACATTACTTAAAAAATCTTAAAACTTAATAACAAAAATTTATATTTTGAATATGAAAGACTTGTAATGTTTCCTGGTGATCTGCAAAATTCATGGAGATATGCTGACTAATTTAAAAGTTATAGCATGAAAACTATAACAAACACAAAATGATTGAGATCATGCAGAAAGAATTAAAAGGCATTTACAAGTACTGTGATAACTGAAATTTCTTGTGCCATTTCAATTCAGCTGAAATTCAGAAGTATTCATAAATGTAATAATTATTGACATATCTAATGTGTTTTTGTATTCAATGTTAATCTCTTGTGTAGATTCAAGGATGGAAACAAAGTCCGACCCAGTGATTTTGAAGCACTGTATGAAGTTGCAACATGCTGTGTTATGTGCAATGATTCCAGTGTTGATTTCAATGAAGTAAGTTATTGTCTTTTTTCATTCACTTTTTTCATATATACTGGAAATTTTAATTAATTCATTTGTTAATAAGTCAAGGTCAAGAAAGGTAAAAGGTTTGTGTTATCTTTCACCAGAATACAAGTCTTGATTTTATTATTATATTTCATGATTTATGATTTTAGTAAAAATTAATCAAAGACATGAAAATAAAAATATTAGTTACTTTGTAAATTAAAGCTTTGCAAACTTCAAAGATTCTTATTATGTTGTTAGTGATGAACATACAGCAGTGACCTAGATGTATGAAAAAAAATATTATTAATCACATTATGTGGTTAACTAAATAATCCGTATATACTGATGTAATAACATATTACTGCGTGTATAGTCTTGGTACCATGGACAACATTATTGGCATCAATTGTTTTAGTTCGTGGTAAATTCCCAAATGTTTGACAGTGCAGTGTTACCATGATTAGAGTTTTAATTGGAAATATTGCCATATGAAAGATATTTTATATTGAAAGAGCAAAGATATGCAAAGTACAGGGCACACGGATTTCAAAGATGACTATCTATACCACAGTGATTCCCATTGGAAATGGAAGGTCAATATACCCTTGTGAGGATGTGAAACAGCAACCCATTATATGAAGGAATACCATATCACTGGCAAAATTTACAGACTGATCACCCAGGAATCCCACCCAGTCAACCTTATAAGTATCATACTGTTATGTATCTGCTCATTTTTTAATTTCCAGTATAAATTCTGATGTACGGTACAGCAGCGTTTGTTGACTCACATTCGAAATTTTATTCATTTAATATTTTATGAATTTATGTCAAAAAGTTTGGTATCAAATTGTAGATTATAATTCAAATTTGAGTATTATACATTAGTTAATTTCTTATTTTAAAAGTAACTATT